GAAGAAAAAAGAGGAAGGAAGGGAGAGAGAAGAGAGATAGAAAGGAAGAAAGAGGAAGAAAGAGAATAAGGGAGAGAGAAAGGAATTGGGAGAGAGAAGTAGAGAGAGAGAGGAAGGAAGAAGAAAGGAAGGAAGGAAGAGAATAAGGAAGGAAAAGAGAGAGAGCAAGTAAGAGGGAAGGAGAGAGAAAGAAGAAGGAAGGAAGGAAGGAAGAAGAGAAAAAAGAGAGAAAAGGAAAAAGAGAAAGAGAACGGAAGAGTGAGAAGGAAAGAAAGGGAGAAAAGAAGATAGAAAAAGAAAGAAAGAGGAAAAGAAAGATTAAAAAAAGAGAGAAACAGAGAAAGAGAGAGAAGGGGAGAAAGGAAGAAAGAGTAATGGTAAATATAGCAACATATATCATCCAGCTATCAATAGAATACAATATAATTTTTATATTATTATCTTTGCAGTATTATGATTAGCGGTAAAATTATTATCAATAACAATATTATATGTCATTGCAGTATTATTATCACTATTATTATTATGATACAGCCTTGCAATATTTTTAATATTGACTTGTAGTATATTATTATTAATATTATATTGCCTTGCAGTTCTATTATTATTATGTAGCCACAGAATGCTATTATTATTGTTGTTGTTGTTGTTGTTGTTATTATTATTATTATTATATATTCTTGCATTTCAAAGTTGTCAACAATGCAAATAGGCAAAAGCACTCTGCACATGCTCAGGGGAACACCCTCAAAATGGGATTCACTGAGGAGGTGCGGCTCAGAAAGGATCCCAGCAAAATTATCATAATAATAGTAATAAGGCTTTGGAAACCAAACTCAAGTCTAAACACGATTAATTAATTCCGGTTTTACATAACATTCCCTGGAGGCGTTTTTCCATATAAATAAATAACACTTTAAATATACCATATTTTAAATAATACTGGGCACAAAAGGAAGGCTCGTCATTATGTTTTATTATAATATTTATAATGTTGTTATTGTTATTCTAAGCGGGTGATTTCTAAAATGCTTTGGATTTCAGAATTGTCGGTACGTGATGTCAACCTATATTATATTATCATTATTATATTTGCAATATTTATTTTTATATTTATATATTTACTATATTATTATTATGTTTACTATATTATTACACTTTATATATTATTATTTACTATATTATTATTGTCATCATATTTACTATATTAATATTTATTCCTCAATTTATTATATCTGCTATATTATTATCATTATGATAATTTTATTATATTAGATTTATATTTGTTTACTATATTATTATATTTACTAAGTTTATATTTTTTACATTTATTTTTATTTATTATATTTTCTATATTTATATTTATTTTTATATGCATATATCTACTATATTATTATGTTTACTACATTATTGTCATCATTACATTTACTATATTCATATTTATTTCTATATTTATTATATTTGGTATATTATTTTCATTATTGTACTTTTATTTTTTATTATTTTATTATATTTATATACTATATTTATTATTATCATTATTATATTTATTAAGTTTATATTTTTTACATTTATTTTTATTTATTATATTTAATATATTATTATATTTACTATATTTATATTTATTATATGTACTATATTTTTATTATCATCATAGTTATATTTACTATTTTTATATTTAAATATATTAAATATATTTAATATATTTACTATAGTTATATTTATCATATTTACTATATTATTGCCATTATTTACTATAACTATATATATATATATATACACACACACACACACGACCTTTACTTAATTATAATACATATAAATATTGTAAATACAATAATGGTGGTAATAATACTATAGTAAATAGAGTATGATTACTATAGTAAATATAGTATTATAGTATAGTATTATTATCCGACTCCAGTACTCATCTCCATTTCTAAGCTGAAGAGCCGGCGTTGTCCTTAGACACCTCGAAAGTCATGTGGCCTGCATGCCTGCATGGAGTACTGTTCCCTTCCCGCCAGAGCGGTACCTATTGACTTACTTACTCACATTTGCATGTTTTCAAACTGCTAGGTTGGCAGAAGCTGGGGCTGACAGCGGGAGCTCACCCCACTCTCCAGATTTGAACCGCCTACCTTTGGGTCAGCAAGTTCAGCCGCTCAGTGGTTTAACCCACTGTGCCATTAGTATTTATTATACTATATTATTAGTATCATTATTATATTTACTACATGTATATATATTTATTTTTGTATTATATTAATATTATATTTACATTATTATTAATATTAATATTATTAATATTATTATTATTATTACTCTCCTATTCAGAAGGGTCCCCCAAAGGCAATCCAACCCAAGAAGAATAATAATTTATATATATATATACACACACACACACACACACATATATGGGAAACATTTATTATTATTATTATTATTATTATTATTATTATTATTATTATTATTATTATTATTCTCCTATTCAGAAGGGCCCTCCAAAGGCAATCCAACCCAAGAAGAAGAATAATTTATTTATATATACACACACACACACACACACACACACACATATATGGGAAACATTTATTATTATTATTATTATTATTATTATTATTATTATTATTATTATTATTATTATTATTATTCTCCTATTCAGAAGGGCCCTCCAAAGGCCACCCAGTCCAACCCCTTTCTTTCTGCCAGGAAGGAAGGTAGTATCATCATCATCAACATCACCATCCTAGAGTTGGAACGGGCCTCCCAAGGGCCATCCAACCTAAAGCCATTCTACATTTTAAAAAAGTTGCAAGGCACCATCTGATCCCTCCTGACAGAGGGCCAGTCCAATAAACCAAAGAGAAAAACATGGAGAGCATGGCATAATGGCTATGATGGGAAATGCATTGGGAGTCATTTATTCAGAAGGGAGCCCCAAAGGCCATCCAGTCCGACCCCCTAGAATAATAATAGAAATGAGCAATAATAGAATAATAATAATAATAATAATAATAATAAGAAGAAGAAGAAGAAGAAGAAGAAGTTTACTATTCAGAAGGGTCCCCAAAGGGCATCCAGTCTGACCCCTTTCCTTCTGCTAGGCAGGAAGATATCATCGTCATCATCTTCATCATCATGCTAGAGTTGGATAGGGTCCCCCAAAGGGCATCCAGTCCAACCCCTTAGAATAATAATAAAAATGAACAACAATAATTATATTATTGTTGTTATTATTATTAGTTCCTATTTGGAAGGGTCCCCCAAAGGCCATCCAGTCTGACCCCTTTCCTTCTGCCAAGCAGGAAGATATCATCATCATCATGCTAGAGTTGAATAGGGTTCCCCAAAGGGCATCCAGTCTGACCCCCTAGAATCATAATAGAATAGAATAATAATAGAAAATTATTATTATTATTATTATTATTATTATTACTACTACTACTATTAGTCTCCTATTTGGAAGGGTCCCCCAAAGGGCATCCAGTCCAACCCCCTAGAATCATAATAGAATAGAATAATAATAGAAATATATTATTATTATTATTATTATTATTATTATTACTACTATTAGTCTCCTATTTGGAAGGGTCCCCCAAAGGGCATCCAGTCCAACCCCCTAGAATCATAATAGAATAGAATAATAATAGAATAATAATAGAAATATCATATTATTATTATTATTAGTCTCCTATTCAGAAGGGTCCCCCAAAGGCCATCCAGTCCTACCCCCTAGAATCATAATAGAATAATAATAGAAATATATTATTATTATTATTATTATTATTATTATTATTAGTCTCCTATTTGGAAGGGTCCCCCAAAGTCCATCCAGCCCGACCCCCTAGAATCATAATAGAATAGAATAATAATAGAATAATAATAGAAATATCATATTATTATTATTATTAGTCTCCTATTCAGAAGGGTCCCCCAAAGGCCATCCAGTCCAACCCCCTAGAATCATAATAGAATAATAATAGAAATATATTATTATTATTATTATTATTATTATTAGTCTCCTATTTGGAAGGGTTCCCCAAAGGCCATCCAGTCTGACCCCTTTCCTTCTGCCTGGCAGGAAGATATCATCATCATCATCATCATCATCATCATCATCATCATCATCATGCTAGAGTTGGATAGGATCCCCCAAAGGGCATCCAGTCCAACCCCCTAGAATCATAATAGAATAGAATAATAATAGAATTATTATTAGTCTCCTATTTGGAAGCGTCCCCTAAAGGCCATCCAGTCCGACCCCTTTCCTTCTGCCAGGCAGGAAGATGGAGTTGTTATTATGACTAGGATGGAGAGTAGGAAAGGGACCCCCAAAGGGCATCCAGCCTGACCCCTTTCCTTCTGATTATTCTGATCCTCCTCCAAGAGGAGGGAAGGGTCCCCCAAAGGCCACCCTGCCCGAAGCCACCTGTGGAGGGGTCACCTGTGGAGGGTTGGCTTCCTGGGCGAGGACCCTGTCGAGGAAGAGCAGGGCCTCTTCCTCCTCCTCCTGCATGGCCGGCTGCCTTGGCCCGGGACGGGACGGTCCTAGAGCAAGGGCCGGCCCCAAGGCATCCCGCCCGGAGTGGATCCGGAACCCAGGCGGGCTTCAAAGGAGGAAGAGAAAGGGAGAAAGAAGGAAGGAAAGAAGGCTGGCCTGGCTCCCCTTTGAGGAAGTGAGTGGCCCAAAGCAAGAGGAGGAGGAGGAGGAGGAGGAGGAACCAGCAGCTGCCAAAAGGGAAGGGGAAAAAAAGAAAGAAAAGTAAAGAAGGATAAAAGGGAGGAGGAAAGAAGCCACGCCTGGGAAAAGGAGGGAGGAAGAAAAGGAGGAGGAGGAAGGGGCCGAAATGGGTGGCCATCTGCCAGGAGGGATCGGACGGTGTCGACTTCCTTAGGGTCGGACTGGATGGTC